GTCCCAGGGAAGATCTTAAGCTATTGTCTAAGCTTATTTCCAGTTCACTCCTATCACTTATTTCCTGGGATTTTACTGGAGTTAATTTCCCTTGTGACGTGTATTTTTTTATTGTTCCAGTTTGGGAGTTCTTGAGCATACTTCCTTTACTATTCTTCCCTTTCATGTCACATATAGGATTTTTAGAGCTTTTTCAAGATTCTGGGGTATATACTTAAACTGTCACTGCTTTCTTCAGACCCTCTCTGGGAATTCCCTTCTTATTCTTTATGTTGGATGTCAGATAGTCAGTAGCACAGCTTGAAAGACTAACACTTGGGGAGACCCACAGCTCTCACTCACCCTCCTGGAGTAGCTTCCGAGTTGCAGTCCTGGGTTGCCCTTTCTCCTGCAGCCGTGTCCTCCTCTTCCAGGGAATTCCTCTGGGTCTCTTTGTCCTCCTCTGCATATACCCCGAGAAATCCCTGGAGACAGCTCTGCAATGGATGTCAGCGCTTCCCCTGCCTCCTAGGACGCCGGCCGGTCTCTTCCTCTCCCAGCTGTACACCGCGGCAGCCCACGTGGTATCGCCACTCCTCCTTGTCTCCCGGCATCCTCACACTCTCTCTCCAGGATCACCGCAGGCAGACTTCATGGGGGAGGACAAGCTCCTTCTCTACTCCCCGGCCGACAGCCGCATCGCCGCCGGGATCTCCCCTCTCACCAGGTCAGTCTCCAGCCGCCCTCCGACTCAGCTAGTCAGTTCTTCGGGACAAATTAGGGAGGATAGGTGGGGGAGGCTATCGGAGAGTTCCTATACTCCGCTCTCCTGTGCCGTCATGTTCGGGCTCCGCCCCCCTGTGCCCTCTGCAATTTGTAATTCCCTATGTAACTCCTTGTCTACAGTATATAGGCTATTCTGATTTTGGAACTCTGGACATGTCTAAGCACAGGAAGTTTTAAAAATTTATTTAAATAAATCAATATTTTTTGTTTTGAATTTAGTGTGGAATCATTAGAACTGCTGACAGGTTTATATTCCTCTTTCCTTTCCTGATTGGGAGATTCCCTCCCTTTGATGGTCTTAGTGACTATTGTCACGTGAACAGAAGGGGATTAAAATTCTCAGATTATGCAGTTTTCATCCGAAGAGGAGATGAAGAGAAATCTTCCAAGGTAGACACCTGTTCCAGTGACGGCTGTTTACTATTACAAAGATTTCTTATCACTTCCTGTTGTGCCCCTAGAACAGGACATGAAGGGGAATCTCCCCAACAGGAATCGGACAGTTTAAAAAAAAAAAAAAAAAAAAGGGTTTTAAACTGTGGTGAGTTATTTTGTTTTTAAATTTATTTTATAGCTTTGTTAGAATATAAATCCAAAGGAGCGCCAAGTGGGAATTAAGGCTTCATCGCCTTTAGTTATGATGTAATGGGTGTTTCAAAAGGCTACCAGAGGTAATCTGGTCACTGGATTATGGGTTTGATTTAAGGAGAGTGCTGCATGTGTCAGGGTTCTAGCCAATTAGGAGGTTGCAGGTGGGGAGGAGGAGATAAAGAAGGACCAAAAGGAGTGTTCCAGTGTGTTATTGGAGCACTTTATGGGGATATTGATGTAGCTTACAGCCACCTAGAGGTGCCAACTATTTATAGTAAATTATATACAGTTGTGGCCAAAATTATTCAACCCCCAATGCTGTAAAGGGGTTTAGGGACTATAGTGTACATTTGGAATTGTATTCCAGAATCAAATCCTACAAGGAAACTACCCAAATGCAACTAAAATGACATCAATTGTTTATGTAATACAGTAGTAAATGGTTCTTATGTGGTTTCAACCCCTTAAAGACTAACCACTCTGAAGAACAGAGGTTCATACAGGTGCTTTCCATCAGGTATTGAAAACACCTGTGGATGTCACCGAGCAGCAATCAAGCATAATAAGCACCAATTAGGCAGCTTTAAAATGACTGTGATACTCAGCTCCTTCTAGACATTTACTGGTGTGGTTACAAACATGGTGAAGGCAAGAGAATGGTCCAGGAGAAGAGGTGATTTCTCTTCACAGGAAGGGCAATGGCTATAAGAAGATTGCAAAGATGTTAAACATAATGCCAAGAGACACCTTAGGAAGCATCATTCGCAAATTCAAGGCAAAGGGCACTGTTGAAACGCTACCTGGTCGTGGCAGAAAGAAGATTGACTTCGACTGCTGTGCGCTTGAAGCGTAGAGTGGAGAGAAGTCCCCGTGTGACTGCTGAGGAACTGAGAAAAGATTTGTCAGATGTGGGTACAGAAGTTTCAGCCCAGACAATAAGACACACTGCGTAATGAAGGCCTCCGTGCCAGAACTCCCAGGCGTACCCCCTTGCTGTCTCCAAAGAATAAGAAGAGTCGACTGCAGTATGCCAAAAGCCATGTGGACAAACCACAAAAGTTGTGGGATAGTGTTCTGTGGACTGATGAAACAAAATTAGAACTGTTTGGGCCCATGGATCAACGCTATGTTTGGAGGAGGAAGAACAAGGCCTATGATGAAAAGAACACCTTGCCTACTGTGAAGCATGGTGGAGGGTCAATCATGCTTTGGGGCTGTTTTGCTTCTGCAGGTAACAGGGAAGCTTCAGCGTGTGCAAGGTACCATGAATTCTCTTCAGTACCAGGGAGATATTGGATGGAAACGTGATGCAGTCCGTCACACACCTGAGGCTTGGGAGACGTTGGACCTTTCAACAGGACAATGATCCCAAGCATACCTCCAAGTCCACTAGAGCATGGTTGCAGAGGAAAGGCTGGAAATTTTGGAGTGGCCATCGCAGTCACCAGACTTAAATCCGATTGAGAACCTCTGGTGGGACTTAAAGAAAGCAGTTGCAGTGCGCAAGCCTAAGAATGTGACTGAACTGGAGGCCTTTGCCCATGAAGAATGGGCGAAGATACCCGTAGATCGCTGCAAGACACTTGTGTCAAGCTATGCTTCACGTTTAAAAGCTGTTATAACTGTAAAAGGATGCTGTACTAAGTACTAAGATTGAATGTCACTTGGGGTTGAATAAAACTGATAATGCTGTGAGCACAGAAAAGACATTTGTGGTTATTTCATTATAACTGTTATGTTATATTTGTCTGACCTACAAGTGCCTCTTTAATGTAAATGTAAGCAAGATGACTGAATGATCAAAAGCAATGTCAAACTGGCCAAAACACTCAATTTCAGTGGGGGTTGAATAATTTTGGCCACAACTGTAGTTCAGTTTTAAAGTCCACCATATTAAACTATATGTAAGACTTAAAGAAACGTTCTTAGTAGGTTAGAATAACACATGCTAGTCACTTTCCTTGTTTTTACCTTTGGCTACTAAAGAGTTTATACCATAATGCCACTGTATGATCAATAACATTGGTTTTGTTTGTTTGCTCCACACTGCTTGTGTGGTTGTTTGTCAAAAATACAAACATAAAAATCTGATTTAAAAAAAAAATTGTTTACAAATCTTTATATGAAACATTAAAATATGCCACAGTGTGTAAGTAAATTTTGTAAAACTGACCTTAAAAAAAATCTTCAGATAAATATAACAATTACACCTCCAAATGCAACGAACAGTACATTGTGGACAGCCTCAACTGTTCATAAATGAAAAAAAAAAAAGAACCCAGGGTCTACCAGTGTCATCAATCACATCCAAAGACCCCACTGCAGTGGATCAATAATGTTACGGGATTATCTTGTTTATTATCCTGTGGAGCACTTGAGGAAGGGAAGGTGAAGGCTAAACTGTGTGTTAAGCCATGGAGCTGTAATAGCAATAGTTTCAGTAAACGGGATAATCCCCTCACTATGCTCAGCAAAATGGAGTGATTTCATTGCATTTACTAACTTAAAGTGATATTTTCCATTTTTTTCCATAATCTTCTCCAGCAATTCTTTGAAACACTCTCTTCCTTTCCCAACAACTTGTAGAGTAAACTGCTTTGATACTGATATATAGAGTTTGACTTTTATCTAAAGTGACCATACTAGTTCCTTATCTCTGTCTTGTTCTAGTGACTGTTGTCATCCCCATCTCTTTTTAGTACATCTCCTTCCAGCCCCTCAGCTTAATTTGTTTTTTTAGTCCTTCACCTCCATCTCCTTCTAGTCCCTCACCTCCATCTCCTTCTTGTCCCTCACTTCCATCTCCTTCTAGTCCCTCACCTCCATCTCCTTCTAGTCCCAAACCTCCATCTCCTTCTAGTCTCTCACCTCCATCTCCTTCTAGTCTCTCACCTCCATCTCCTTCTAGTCCCTCACCTCCATCTCCTTCTAGTCCCTCACCTCCATCTCCTTCTAGTCCCTCATCTCCATCTTCCCCTGTCCTTTGATGCATATGGAGACTTGTGATCTATGACTGCACACTTAATGTGGAGGCAATGATTAGTAGCTTGGTTTCACCTTTTCTGTGTCTTATAAGAAGCTAGTTGAACCCAGTGGTGGAATTACTGTCTCCTTTGGGGCAGAGTGTCTGAAAATAAACTGTCGAGTCATAACTAAGCTGAATAATTCTTGTATGGCAGTTTCTGTGAACATTGACAAAGGAAAGAGTCTCTTGAATTACACATTAGTACCTGTTTCAACAGACTTTTGTTCTCTTCAAGCAGGTTTTGCAGTCCCATACAAGTCTATGGGAATAAAAATAACACTTAAATCAGGTCAGGAGGTCAACTGTGGGTGAAATGCACTGTTAAATCTGAATGATCTCAGAAGCTTCTCAAACCAACATCAAACTAATGCAATCAAGAGAAGCCCAAAGCTTGTTGACCCAGGCCCTTAGTTTCACTGTAATGTAATACAAGAATGATGTTGTATTTCCCTTCAGCTTTGCCACACACATAATGAGTCCTCTTAACATTTACAAAAAAATAACTTGCATTAATGATTTATGTTAAGGTTACAACTTTTACAATTACATCTAATTTAATAAAAAAAAAAAAAAGCTTCAAAAGACCAAGTATTCCATTTTGCTTTTTTTTTCCCACCAGGCTCGTTATATCCGGATAGATGGCAGTGTTCCATCAGCAGAAAGAATACATCTTGTGCACCAGTTTCAGAATGACCCAGACACTAGAGTGGCTATTCTAAGTATCCAGGCTGCTGGACAGGTGAGGAACTCTTGATAAAAGTGATTCTGAAATTAAGGTCTTTATTTAGGAACTTCCTGTTATAGAGTGACAATACTTTGTTTCAGTCTTCCAGTTGTGCACCACCATTGTCAGCTGGCCACATGAGCCCAGTGGTAGTATAAACACATAGGCATGGTCCCCTGTTGTCACCATCAGGAAACCTGCCCTGAGAAATGTCACTCATGGAGTCCATGTAGATAGAAAATTGCTGCAAAGAGACAAATCATGAGCACAAAGGTACAAGAAAGGATGGAAACCAGTGAAATCAGTTATGTATCAAGTGTGATTTTTGGTAGTGGTAGTCCAGTCTATTCCTAACTAAGTTTAGATCTGCTCCCAACCCCCTTCTTAACCCTTTTCTATAAACATGTTATTCTTTCGTCAACGGATAAGAATAATATTCTTTTCGTCAACGGATGCCTTATAGTAAAGACATGAATGACGTCAGCCCTTTCTCCTCCTCTAAAGTCAGTTGCTGAGGAGATCGTGTGACCGGAGCAGATTGCCCTCCGAATAGTTAAGTATACACATATTCCTTTCACAGGGTAGATATGATGGGGTAGAAGGGAGGTAGAAGTGGATTTAGGTAAAGCTAGGAATAGGCTGGACTTTCAGTTTAATACTTTGTATGTTTGTATGTTGACCTTTATATTTGAGTTGTTATGAGATTTAGTGATCTTTTGTTTTACATTTTTCTGGAGGTTGAGGGGTAGGTGCATCCTGTATGTACATGATGTGGCTTTCAATAGTGATGATACCTATTTGGAGTTTTCAGTGTTAATATGTTAATTACACAGTGTATTTTGTAACCTTTAATCATTATTAATAGGTAGTATTATGAATTTCTTTTTTTCACCCTTAGTCCTAGTTTGCTGGAGTTTTTTTTTCTCCATAATTTCCAAGTATTCATTAACAATGCAGGTTTACTTCATCACTTGAGTAAGCCTGGAGGCAGCTGTTCATGACCATATAGGATTTGCATAGTCCTTTACAGTGCTATAAGCTTCAATTTTGTGTAAAGAGGGATTAGCATTTTCGTAATGTTAAAAGCACATTTACTAAAACTGGTGCACTCAGAATCTGGTGCAGTTGTGCATGGTAGCCAATCGGCTTCCAACTTCAGCTTGTTCAATTAGGCTTTTGCAATAACACCTGGAAGCTGATTGGTTTCTGTGCAGAGCTACGCCACGTTTGGAACTCTTGACTTTTTTGTAAATAATTCCCATTATCTCTAAAGATCCAGTTTAACTTAAAGGGGATTTTTTGCCTATTTTTTTTTACTGCAGATAGAGTAGAGAAGGGTTAGAACCCTGGTTGAGTTTTAGGTTTTCTCTCTGTGTCCCTATTGATATTGTTAAATATTTGAAGTTTTTTTTTTTTTTTTTTTTCTACAGATATTGGTCTGTATGTGATGTTTCAAATAGTGAATGTTGAATGTCCTGCATCTCACATATCTTACTAATTTGCATGTCTACCCCATCAGAGTTTTTTAAAACCTAACTTGTAAATATTATTGAATAAAACGTTTATTTATCTTTTTATTATTATTTTTTTTTAATTTACACTTTATTTACACCGTCATATCTATTTAGGAAGAGATACAATATTGAGGTCCTCCTTTTTGTTTCTCTTTTTTTGCCAGACCTTTGCTAAAACCTTGCTGTCTCTTTTAATATTTCCTAATTCTTTTCATATCTTGTGAGGAAAGGAAGGAATTTTCAATTAGGAAGGGATACTAAGGAGTTGAGTATATTTAGGAGAATGGAAGAGAAAAAAAGATAATAGCTGAAGAATTAATAAGAACAATTTTAAATAATTCTGATGGGTAGACGTGCAAATTAGCAATGTATGTCAGATTCATTACACTAGACATTAAATAACCAATTGATGATAATATCTTGCTAATAAAACAGGAAGTCTCACAAGTGGGTTTCCAGACAAAAGCCTAAGATGGGTTCATATTTAACCATTCTTCTACTAAAAGTGCTTTATTTGCAGTTTGTTTCTTCCATGTTGAGATTCTTCTCACTTCCTGTCTCAATGGCACAAAACAATGTTAGGGGAAATATCTGTAATAGGGGCAGTATTTTAAAATGGATAGAGATGATAACCCTTTCCTGTTATATGCAGAGCAAATCATAATAATTTGTCTGAAATTGTTTTAATATACTGTAACTTGCTAATGGTATTGTGTAGTGTACACATGCTCTGCATTCTGGTAAATAACAAAAAACTAAATATGGTGCAAGAGGCATAACTATGGCAATAAAAGAACAGAGTTCTTAAAAGTCCACAATAGATTAATCCCAATGTACATAAACTGCAGCACTTCACAGACTGAAGAATATCTGTAGAAATGTAAGGAGAGCTTGATTGGGCAGAGGAGAGCTAAGTGTAGCAATTGAGAACCTTTATTAAATAAAAACAAGTGGCAACTCACTTATGGGAAATGTCTGTAAACAAAATCAACAACATGGACAAGAACATAAATGTCTGTAAACGTTTATTGTGATAACCGTCCAACTGCCAATGGAGTAGTTCCCCAGGAGTATGGGAGAGAGACCAGGAAGTAGCTGAAACAGGAAGTGAAACTATAGTACATGGAGTGCAAGGCCACACTGTAAATGATGTCAAACACTAATCAGCCATGGGGGGGGGGGGGGGGGTTACTCAGTTTGGAGCTGCCCTGGTCCTTGGTCAGCCTCTTCTTTTTTTTTTTTTTTTTTAATAAAGGTTACCAATTGCTACACTTTGGCACCCTCTTATGTTCTCCAAGCATTCTTGTAATTGCATCCATATTGACAAACCATATAAAATTTCTTATGGTCTCCTGATCTTCACTTCCTTCAGTAGTCCATTGGGCTGAGAAGTGATCACATGATGGACATTTCAGAAACTGTCCACACTGGGTTGTCTTTTTGGCATCTTACTGCCATGGTAAAATTTAAATCGACATGGGCAAGAACATAACCACCACCTTCTTCTTTTTTTTTTTTTTTTCTGTCCATTTTACAAACACTGGCCAATACACAGCCTGTGGGGGGGGGGGGGAGAAAATTATTAACCGATTCCTCCATCCACACTAACAGCACAGATGGCTGAATCTGCTGCGGCTGTTATATTCTGACAGCCAGCGCTGCAGGGTGTTAAATACCTGACCTGATTGGGTGTAGCTAATATACGTTGGAAAATTTCCCATCCTGCTCCTTCAGTTTTTTTTTTCAGTTGATATGTTGGGTGGGAGCTGACCAGCAGGGCCACCCATTGTGTGAATTTCGGTCGGTTCCTCAAGAATTCGCTGAAATTCATACAGTGTATAGCCAGTTTACCTATCAAAACTATGGCTATCTTATTATTTTTTTTTTTTAAACAAAGTCTGTTTTAAGTTGCCGTGTTGTCTAGTATAACAAAGCAAATGAGAACATCAGTGTATAATTAGGTTGTTGAATTTGTTGTTTCTGAATTCATTATTATTCCATTATGTCCTTTGGAGACCACTGTGTTTGTTTAATTTTCTTGGTTCAGGGACTGACGTTCACAGCTGCCACTCATGTTGTTTTTGCTGAGCTCTACTGGGACCCCGGCCACATAAAGCAAGCCGAAGATCGAGCCCACCGCATCGGACAGAGTAACTCCGTACATATTCATTATTTGATCGCCAAAGGGACCCTTGACACACTGATGTGGGGGATGCTGAACAGAAAGGTACCAAACGTCTAAAACAGCGCAAAGAGGGAAAAGTTGCAAGCTGCTCATTTAATTTACTACCAGCAAAAAGTTTGACATGGGAGGGGCAAGTTCTAATAAGTGTTCAGAATAATCTCATCAAGATTGAGTTTGTTAGCAAAAGAGACCAAATTTAAACCAGTTTAAACGTTTTAAAGGGAAGCTTTATTATTATTATTATTATTATTACTACGAGTTTATATAGCGCCAAAGGGTTTGCTCAGCGCTGTACAATAGGGGGGACAATACATGGCACAGTACAACAACAACAAACAACGTACGAGGGGTAAGAGGGCCCTACTCTTACGAGTTTACAATCTAGGAATTAAGTGAAATTGTTATTCAGAGAAAATATAGTATTTCTAAACTGAAGAACAAATATTTTAAATATCGTAGCTTACTAGCCTTTCAATGTGGTTGCATTAGTTTTCTTGTTTAGATTAAATACATTTTCTGCAAGTAAACAAAACTACATATTGATCCTGCCAGAAATAATGTGTAATTGTAACTTGCTGTGCACTGACCTGGAATGGTTAAGTGGTTTTCAAGGTAAAAGGTTTTTCACCTTAATGCATTCTATACATTATCCTTTAGAATCATTTTAAACCATGCAATCAGCCTTCCCAGTTACCTTTTGTGAACTGCAGAACACATCCCCCTATGTGACCCATTGTCACCCTAGTCAGCTGATCAAAAAAACAAACTGATTCCTCCATTCTTGCATTTGACGTGGATGGAGGAATCCCACGATTGTATCCTGGCTCCTCTGCTGCCAGAATACATTTATCAGCGCTTCAGCTGATTGGCTGCAAGCACTGATCAAATTAAATATATTGACAGTCCCGTTCGAGAGGAGTCAATCGCTAGAACTCTCAAACCCTAATGGCCATACATGGATTAAAATTTGGCCAATTCAGCAAGATTTTGATCCATATATGGGTAGTCTAAATCTGCTAGTCCATCTAAAACTCCCCTCCCCTGCAGACAATGCAGCTGTCCAAAGGTGTCTTTTGCTCCTTCATCCACAGTGGGGGCGCTCTAATGCAGGAGGTGTTACTGGCCAGATCACCAGGTGAAAACGGGAAAAAATGCCTAAAAAGAAAACTAATGCAGCCACCACATCCAATAGTTGGTAAGCTGCAATATATTACATTTTTGGTTTTGTGTTTAATGCCTGTTTAGGTTTGTTTTCCTTGAGTAGCCATTTGGAGTATTGTTAAAGTCTTCCTTACTTATTAGCCAAATAGAGAAGGCATTGTTTTGTGTCTGTGTGTATAGACTGTAACACTGGGGTTGAGAAAGGGGAACATTATTATACAAGGATGCTTGGGTATGCAAATATACCAAAATGACTGCCCCATTATTCTGATAAAAAAGAAACAAATATGAACTTTAATTTATAAAATACATTTGTGGCACTTTCTGCCCAGGGACAACATTGTCATTCGGTGGAAAACGTTCAGGATTGCAGCGTTGCCAGCAGGACAGGAGTTTAGCAAATATCTTCCTAATGGGACATAGTACTAAAAACCAGGGAAAGTGGTTCTAAATGTTCCATACTCTATCCAAAGACTAGAAATGAAATCTTTATTTAAAAAGTAAATATCTTATACATGGTGCATCTGTGACACCATTTTGAAGGATGTTTAGGTCTAGCTAAAGAGAGAACACAATACTGCCTGCTACCTAAACCTTTTTAAAGGTTTGTAGGTTGCATTTATGACTAGAGGTCTCAGCTGCCAATAAATGTTGCACATTATTATGAAGGTGCACGTGCAAGCAAGGTTCCTACTCTAGTATATGGGAATGCCAAAACTGGGATATTTATACAGCTGACTCAGATGAGCAATATGCTTGTATGGGGGTTACCCTAATGCTATCTATACCACCCAAAGACAAAACTTGCTGTGGACAGATAAAGGTCTGTTATGGATGCATACTGTATACTGCTAAAAGAAAACAAAAGTTACTAGCAGCTCATCAATTTATAATTGAAAATAGGTTAATGTAAAGCAGGGGTGTCCAAACTTTTTTCAAAGAGGGCCAGATTGGAAGAAGTGAACATGGTGGAGGGCCGAACATTTTTCCGAACATTCTTTGAACCATTACAATTAAATGCAAATAAATTATTTTATGCCAAGTTAATTGCAAACAACATACTTTTAATTTCATAACATTAAGATCAACTGACAGCTGAGTTTTCACAATGTATTGAAAATAAATAAAAAAAAAAAAACTTACCTGCACTAATGTGAAGGGTGAAAAAGGTAGCTGGAGCTGAAGTCTCTGCTCGGCAGCCGGGAGGGGAAGAGAAACACACTTCACACTGGAAACCCGGCCCTGACGTCACCGCCCTCTGTCGCTCCCAGCGCGGCGCAGTCACGCATGCGCACTGCTCTCAAGCAGAAGACTGTCTGCCACAGAAGGGAGGGCCGTGCGACAGCCGCATTTAAACAGACCAGGGAGAACGCGCCGCAGTCAGGCATGCGCACTGCCCTCTGATCTCAAGCAGAAGACTGTCTGCCATAGAAGGGAGGGCCACATTACACAGAGCAGGGAGGGCTGTTGGAAGGCCGTATTAAACCGACCCCGGGCCGTAAATGGCCCGCGGGCCGGACTTTGGACATGCCTGATATAAAGGGATGAAATAAATTCATAAAACAAATAAAAGAAAAAAAATGTAGCTACGTTTACATTTGTGTAAATGTTAGCACTAATACAGAACACAAAAGTTTGCCAACATAGCCTCTTGGGGACACTCAAATGTATTTAAAAATGGACTTTAGGTAGACTTCTTAGACCCACTTAAAGTAAAATTCCTCAGCAATGTTGCCAGCTAATGGACAGGACGTAATATAATGCCCAGCACCTCTTGCAAAGAAAGGTATTTTTATTACTCTATGCAAATAAAAAAAAAAAAAAAAGCAGCAGGAACCTACTCTCCATATTCTCCAACCTACTCTCCATATTCTCCAACCTACTCTCCATGGCAGATGGTGGGGCTGTATCACAGATGTTCCAGCAGCTTAGCAAGCCTCTGTGTCAGTAGAGGAACCCACTTCACATTCTCTCTGTGCGTCATCCTCTGTTGCGTGGAAGCACCTCCTATGACTCGACGTGCACTACTTCCGGGTCTTAGTTTTATGGAAATGCCGGTTTTTCTGCTAATTATAGTCCCCTTATATATAGTCCCCTATACTTGTAACTGACAAGCTTAAGAAAAGGAGTGTTTTTTTCCCCAAAAGTGCATTGCCATAATGCTAGGAGCAGGAAATAGGTTGCACCCCAGCCCTGGGAGGTGCTCCCATGCAACAGAAGATATTTCACAGCGAGAACGCGGAGCAGTTTCCTCTGCTAACACAGGGTTTCTAAGCTCTGGAGTTAAAACCTTTCCCCCTCATTCATGGAAAAATCTTATATGGAATGCCAGCCTAGTGAGCTGGGGTGCAGTCCTGGACACCCTCTCAATGCAGGGGACAAGGTCTTTGGAGGAAGCTCATCTTCCCATCAACATTTTGGAACCCAGGGGTGATTCAGTTGTTCCTTCAATGGACCAGTCCTCTTCTGACTGAACTCCGGATGAGAATCTATGTGGTCAAACCCATGACCATGTTCCATTTAAGTTATTAAGGGTGCAAAAGAAGCTGACTGAATACTCACATGAGCAGAATTTCATGTTCCTGGCCTTTCCACTGTTCACATTCCAGTTGTGAAAAGTCTTTTGGACAGATTCAACAACCACCTTGACAGAGTAACAATTGGTATACGAGCGCTAGGTGGAATAGAATAAGCAGCTGGCATTAAAGGTCAACCTCCAACCCTCATAAAACATACATATTCAGAAATACAGTGCTATTAAATGACATATATAATGGTAAGTTATAAAACAACCAAATAAATAAAGATATAAATATAAAAAATGCGCTGTGGAGTGCTATGGTAAAGGTGATAATAGCTTCTAGATATAACGCATAAGGTGCGATAATGACATCCAATAAGGAGATAAACGTCCAATATAACGAAAAGGTGAACTTCCGTGCTTCCAGTGGATGTGAGAATGAGTATATATTGCACTAACCAGATTTGTGTTACATAGACCACTCCTGGTCATCAGCATCCTAGGGGTAATCTCGGGGATCATCTGGTATACGTCCGCACATCAGCTGATCATCTCCAGGATAACGCCAACGAGATGTATATGGATCAAAAATGCACTAAAGGAATCCACCTTAAAATGCTCATGAACAAATGAGCCAGAAAAAGAGTGTTTGATAGTGCAGTATATTTTAAATATTTGTGGCAAAAAATGACAGCAAAAAACACTATGCACTTACATCTGGCAACCTTGACAGGTTTGCTGCCAGGTCCAGGGACCCTTGGCTTTTGTAGTGGATGCTATGGTGACTCCATGGAATCCTTTCAACCTGATATATGCATTTCTGCCCCTCCAGATACTTCCTAGCCTATTTTGCAATAGAGGGTATCCCAGGAAATTTCCTCGCCACAAATTGGCTCAGGAGGACCTGGTCCTTAAATTCTCAAACTCCTGGTGCACGCTCCGTGGGTACTTTTGCATGATCTGGATCTTCTGTCCTGAAGGCCAGTGTTCCATCCTGCTTCAGGGTTGCTGGCTTTGATGACATAGCTGTTGAAGCCACAGTTCTGAAGGGCAGAGTCCTCATGAATTTTGTTAACTTCCTTGCCTTTAAAAGGGTAAGTATGACTTTTTGCAAAGTCAACCATTGTACCTAGAAGTCATACCTCTGCACTCTCTAGTGAAGGACTCTCTTTTGACCTCCCTTGCTACAGCAGTTAGCGGTTTGTGCCTTGCAGCACTGAAGTCCTCAGTTTGAGCACTGACTGCATAGAGTTTGCTTGTTCTCCCTGTGTTTGTGTGGGTTTCCTATGGGTACTTCATTTTTATCCCACACTCCAGTGGCATGCCGGTGAGGTTAATTGGCTTCCATCTAAAACTGGCC